TGTTCTTGAGGAAGACAATACTTTCACAGTGCCTCTCTCCACTCATGCGGGTGTATAAATGGGGTACTAGCGAATTTAATGCTGGTGTCAGTGGATGGTAACCCTCCCTCCCATCCAGTGGGGAGTAGAAGTACTCGTAGTTGCTTCATGCTACTGAAACCGTAGATAAGCTCGGGCCTGATGGGTCACTTGGCTCGTATGCAGACGTTACCTTATCTTCACCAAAATGTCTTTATTTTCACGAGCAAAAATGCAGTTTAACTTTGACAACGCGGTTTTAAGCTTTCTTACGCTTCGTGTTCTACGTAGTCTACTTGCCTTAGAGAGGCTTTAATTTACACTACATCACTATTGAGATATTTACACCTCTCATTACCCGTAGCTTTTTAGTATCACGCACTTAACAGGCTTTTCTTTTTTCTTCATTTTAACGCCTACTGTCTACTACAAACTGTTTCTTTATTAAAATAAAATTTGTAATAAATAACTGTCTATTTATGGCGACGCCTCACAGGATCAAACCTAATGCAAAATAAGTAAAATCAGCAGCAGCCTGTGCAGCAGGCATTAAACGGGGGAGAGGACCTGGAGGAAGGGAGAGTAGGGAGGCGTGGGGGGAGAGGAGGAACATGTTCCTTCTCCTTCTTTGCCTCCCCTCACCCTCCCCTCCCCTGACCATCACCGTTTACGCCTACACCGCAGTCTTAACTCGACAGCTTATCCTTCTCATTTGTATTAAGTTCAGCTCCTGTGAAGCTTAGCATTTGATCCTGGCCTAACTATACCAATGATTTTCTACGTAAAAATGTATGGCTGCTCAATAATGTAAACATACAGCAGTCTACAGTCTACACATGACAGACAGAAGCAGCTGAAAACGTGAAATGCTTAAATTATTTTTTGACACACAGTCAATTCATAATGGCCGACTGAAATTCGCTCTAAGCCCTAAAAGTAATATACAGTCAGATGTGTTGTAAAAAATTAACCCGTCTTACAGACGAATGATGAAAACAGAGGATGTCATCAACTTAGAGATAAACATCTTACGATGTACACTGTCACATCACCTTCTCTATAACAGTAAGAAAGTCACAATGTGCAATTCCAGAAAATATCCTTACTCCCCCACAGAAGGGATTGGCATTTCCCGGGGGGTGGGGGGTCCTGTAAAACCCAAAAATTCAAAGAAATGTATGAAGCTCAATTGGAATTTCCAGAGGGGTGGGGGGTCTTGAAAAAATGGATATTTTCTGGAGCTACACAATCCATGACAAGCATTTGTGTCAATATCTCTCCTATGCAACACAAAAACAACTATGAGAAACACAGACACCACCAAAGCCAAAACTTACAACAAGTGTGTCATTAATGAAATATTTACAAATTAGCCTTGTTTCATGTATATCTATCTACAATCCAATTTCTACAGTCTCAAACTCGGCCTGTCTAGAGTGTTTTCACATGACGTCACGGCAGACATACATGTATTGGTGTCCCAAAACAATGCAAAGGCGGCCATGATGGTGTCTCAAACCAATCTTGCAGGAGTTGAACTTTTTTCTTACGTAAGCAAAAAATGTGATGGCCACATCGGTGAAAACACTCTATAACTATTATGTCTGGTTTATGACTAACACTTGCAGCTTATTTAATGATCAGTATATTCCACATGTCTTGGACCCTTCCTAAAGGGGTTGGTGAATGATTTGTTGGACCTCTTCTTCCTGTCTAAGGTTCCTAAGACAAGTTAAAAAGGATTTTAAAAAATACGAAAAGCTTTAGTTCAGTAAAGTGTATTAACAATAGTTTTCTTTGATTTGGGTTGCCTTGCAACACTTTAGGTGAGAAGCTGGGCCGAGAAGTGGACAATATTCAGAGCAGGAAACTGGTTTTTTTTTGTCTGCGATTGTGTACATGAAACCATGTTTTAGTGATGCAAGCCAGACTTAACATTGCCAAAAAATGGCAAAGCCAGTAATTACCAGAGTTTACAATTTCAATCAAGGTAAAGATGGCATTCTGGCCTAAATCCCTTGCAGATTAACTCACGATGCCAGTCTATCACAGGGTTACCCCCCAGCATTTAATGTGCTGGTACCCCGGGTACAACCAGGCGCTGAGATTTCCCAATCCTGAGCCAGGAGCTAGTGACACTCCTAGAGTAAGAGGAGGGGGGGGGNGGGGGAGGTACTGAGAGAGTGAAGCGTCTTGCCCAAAGCTAATTTATTATGATGAATCCACTGATATGGAAACCACTGTGTTAACTGTAAGGCCAGTGAACCTATGAGCTAATCACAGGGCAGAAAATGAATATTTAATGGTTTTGAGCATGATACATAATATACCAAAGACATGTTAAAGAAAATCAAAAGAATAATGCAAAGCACAAACCTTCAAGAGTGGAGAGACTGAGTCGTTCCATTCTACAACTAATTTTGCCACCTGTTCAACAAAACAAGCCATGAGAGGGTTAATGAAATATCACGTTTACTTTGGTGGGGCTGATGTCAAACCTCATTTAAACAACTAGGCTTAGCTATACTATTTCAGATCTGCCAGGCAACTTAAACTTCCAATTTGGTCCAGAGCCATACAGCCATACAATACAAAAAGCACTAAGGGTATTAAATGATTTACACTAATGCATAATCCACATCTTCATGATGTACTGCTCATCCGCATTGCAATAACACAACTTTGTCTCAAGTCAAAATCCCACGAATACGTTCATAGAGTAATTTCTGCCAAAACAATACTTTATCTTATTTTAGCCTGCTTACTAAGTTAAAACGGAAAACAGACACCTTTTGAGAGCCTAAGTGATGCACACTAAAGACACAAATCAAAACACTAATTCTCTACAGGTTAATGTGATTTTTAAAGTCGAGGACCAGATAGAGCATTGACTATCTTGCCACTAGTAAAACAGATCGAAGGACATCAATTTTAATATGAGATATTTGGCCCCAAGTCTCTTACATCTGAAGTTAAGTTACAGTTAACGGGTTAAACAATGTTCTGTTCCTTTTTACTCTTTAAAAATCGTATGCCTCCATCCTTATATGGGTACATGTTTACAAAACACAATGCTGCTATGTTTAAGGACACTTGTGCATGTCTCTTTTAACCAGGTTCCACTACTGTACATGATTATTTTTATCTTCTTTATTTAAAAAGCAATTGAAATATAATCAGATTTGACAAGCAAATAATATTTGAACTCACCTCGTCCATCATCACGGCAATTCCTGTTGATAAGTAGTAAAGAGAATGACAGTGTCAACCTTTGATAAAGGTCTTACTGAACACTATTTACTAAAACTAACTGTTAAAGTTTCAAGTCTGTCCTAGTTACAGGGATTATGCATGCTTATCACTGGGTATGCTTGTTACAGTGGGTGAAAGTTAATCTCAGTTGCAAATACACTCAACAGCTTTAGCATTAACATGAAACATCAGTTACGCTTAATGATTATCATCAGGTCTCATGTATTGTAATACTGTTTGTGACTGGTAAAATAACTACCTTCATTATCACTTACCCTCCAGGCTCATCACAAAGAACACAGGATTGTACCATAGCATCCATCATTTCTGCCTGAAAATATAATCAAAAACAATATTACAATAAGATCACAATATTGCCATGAAAAGAACAGCACCCAAGGCAGTTGATAAAAACTACAGTGAGTGTGCTTATTACAAATATTCAATCAATTGACAAGTTTTTTTGCCACAAGCTTTTTTGAGCTTATACATGTAGAATAGTAGGGAGTAACCTTCCCCATTAAAGATCATGTGATATATTTTGCAGTTTATCTACAATGTAATGTTTCAGGAAATAACCTTACCACTCCCATGGGGAGGATATTTGGTTTGAACCCCCTCTCCCAATCCCCTAGTTCTGGAAATTCCAATTTTCATCATACATATATTCCTTTAAAAAGTTTGGCTTTTAAGCCACCTTCCCTCACTCTTGTAATTTCCAAAAACCCTCCTTGGGGTGGGTATGGACATTTTCTGGAACCACATTGTGTTGAAACATCAAGGTGGCTCAAAACAGTTTCCTACAGAATTTTTTAACCTTTGCCAAAAGTTGCATCTCATCATGCTTATTAAAATTTGATAAATAAAAGAATTCACTGTGCTGTTTTTGAATTATAAGTCCCTAAAGCTGTAACTAAGGGTGATTTAGCAAGTAATACTGTTGCTATGGTTACCTGTTGTGTCCCGAAAATGATAACAATGCATTCACCAATGATTGGGCAGTTTTTTGAAACCATGATTTTTAGCATCAAGTGATAAAGAGTGGTTCATAACGACCCATCAAAATCTAATTGCTGGAAACTGTTTTGAGCCACCTTAAATGCATCTAATAGTAATTATTATACAATAGATGAAGATTTTGGTAACTTCTTGTGATCACTGAGAATAGAACTGAATTGTTTTCTAGTATACAATCCTAGAGCTCGACTTTTAAACATGCTGAATTGACATGATTACAAAGAATCTTGCTAGTTAACTGGTCAGTAATTGTTTGTCCTACCTGTTTGGAGAAAATCTGCAGCCTTTGCGCTTCTGTTGGATCACTGCTACCTTCTGGAGGATCAAACTCCAACCAGAATGTGTCCATGCAGCCAGGTTCAAGAGCTGGAGCTGGGGTATAATCCCATGACAACTCCTCAAATGCCAGGCTCAAAAGAATATCCTTTACAAAAAAAAAAAGAAAACAAGCAATTTTAGCATCAATGTTTACCTCTTAGAAAAAAATAAAGATATATATATATAGCTAAATATCATCTTGAACTTGAATAGAATAAATCTTTGAGAGTGCTCAACCCTGAGAAGAGCAGTAATTATAATGGTCAATGGTAGTAAGATTCGTTAATATTGCTTGATGAGTGTGGTCATTCTTTGTCCATACGAAACAGCGTTGTCACAATAAAACGATGAATTGAAATCTTACTACCACTGACCATTATTTAAGCAATAGACCACAAGTTTTTATGGTTTATAGGCTGATAAACCCACACAGGATGTTGGAAGAACACAAGACGAATTCGTAAATCACAAGCTGCAGGCAAGTGATTTACATCTTCTTCGACTGTTCTTCCAACATCCCACGTGGTTTATCAGCCTATAAACCACAGAAACTTGTGGTCTATCACTTTTATATAATAATTCAAAAGACACGTGAAATTTCCATGAGTTTGCTGGCACAATAAACCATAGCTGATTGACCAATCATAGTGCACACAATGATTTAATTATTATATAAAGCTAAATATCATCTTTATGTTAACTTTGTATTTTTGACATTGAAAAAGTTATGATTCTGGGAAACTCTAATGCCAAACAGTCAAACTAAAAGTTCTAGTTACAAAACATCACCCATTTCATGGCATCATCATGGTAATCACATGATTTCAAGTGCAATTAAGAAAAAATTAGCACAAGTAAGAGTTTTAAAGGCTAATAAAATTCCTTACACCTGTAGCATGAGTGCAATTTGTTGTCTTTGGGTTAAGATTTACACTTGTAGTCATTTATTCCAAATTGCATGAGAATAAAAAAATGATTACTTGTTCATAATTGACTTGAAAATAGACTATTAATAAAAGGTCTTTGACTAACCATTGTCTACTAAGCCAGGCTGCAGTGCCCTGGGCCTACCAACTATCTTCGAAAATTTCTGAAAATATCTGCAAAACCTCTGAAAATTTTGGAAAATCATCTTGAGGAGATCTTCAGCAATCTTTGGATGATGTTTAGAAATCTTTGAAAGGGTTTGGGTGATCTTGGGAGGCTCATACTGTATTCAGAAGGGATCAGGTGATAATGGAATCATTCAAAAAAGCTCTAATGTTATTGTCTTCTGTTGTCTTCTGTTAATTGTGCGGCATATACATACATTTTTGTTGTCATCAATCACATGGACCCGCTCTCTGTTAATGGCAACTCTCACAGGCAGGTCGGAATTCCCCAAAATGTTTGAAAACACAGAAGACGAGGGACGTTCAATTTGACCTCGGAAGAAAACACTCCTGTTTAAACCAGAAGAGAATCAGTTAACATAAAATTTAACATAGTATTTAAAGTACAGTTTTATGAATAGCTGTATCTTATATGTAAATGCTGATCGCCAGTTAATACCAGTGATCCAGTGATCACTGATTGGCCTTTCAGGTTAAATAAAGTCTTTTATTTTATTTTATTTAAAACATGATCAGTGCCAATAACAACTAGCACATGTATTATATGCGTAAATTTATTTAATATTAATATTAAAAAACCTACCCATAGAAGGAAAATCCCCAGCAATATTCCAAGAACATTTTATGGCAAGCTTTGACATCTCTCACTTTGTTGGAAACATCTTTATACTGCTGCAGGAGCTTGAGTTCCAGAGATGAACGAGGTGACCGACCACGAAACGACCATGTGGATTTGCACACCCAAGCTGGTAGGTAATCCGTCAACTTGCTCCTACAAAAAACAGATTGTGTCTCATTATGGAGCAAAATTTTTAACATTGTCATTGCTGTTGTTGATTCAATACAGAGGAAATTAAACGATGACACTAAAATAATGATTGTCTACTGAGGCCATGTAAACTATTCCATGTTATGTGTATTAACCGTTTGCAGATTACTCGTCAGATACCATTCATCTTTAATTCTCATGCTTTGTGCTACACATACATTAACTTTGCACTTTGAGAGCTTTCAAAGAAGGATTGAGTGGGAGTAAATGGGATAAAAGTTCATGAGGATGGAAAGGGCAAAAAGCAGTGTTCTCAAGATGTTGGTAACTACACAAAAATGTAAGAAAAATAGTGAAAGATAACAGAATATTTTGCAACTGATAAAGCACAAAAAGAAGGGCCACACTAGGGTGGGTGGTACCCACGCATAAATGTGACAAGAAAAGAAAGAGTTGGAAAGTTTGGACTCAGTCCTTCCCAGCCTCTAACCCTAACCTTTAAAAACACAACAAAAGTAATGCACATGATTTGAACACTGTATTTAGAGCCATGATGTAACATAATAATTGTATGTCAGAAGCTGACAACAATAAAGATAAAAACTTACTTGAAAGCACCAGACGTGTGTACTTCAGGATCAAAAATGCCATTTTCAATGAAAGCAAGAATACCTCCCAGTGTCAGAGCATCTTTTGTGCTTATAGGATAGTTTCCACTCAAAACATTGTATTTAGCCTGGAAAAAAAGAATGAAACAAGAGAGTGTTCAAAGTAAAAGAAAAAGAAATCGAGGGGATCATGTATTTGACAACAAACACACATCAGTTGAATACTGTGCATGTGTGTTGTGATGCCTACCTAAAACTGATCATCCTTTTTCAAGCTTTTTATTAGTGGTGTCTTGCATTCAAGATATGTACATGCAGCACGTCTGGTTTAAACTACAGATAACTAAACCCTCATATCAAATTAAATCTTATAAAACTGGCTATCAAGCTATCCCAGGAATTTTGAATAAAAATGAGTTGTTGAATTTTTTATGACCTCTAAATCTGAGCTTCCTAGTCACCTTTTGAAATTTGTATACTGTTGTGGAGAGACGCACTGTGAGAGTTAAGTGTCTTACCCAAGAGCATAACACAATAATATTACCCCAACCAGAGCTACAACCCTGACTTCTCAATGTAGAATCCAGTGCACTAACTACAACGCCACAACTCCTCCTTAGTCATGTCATACTCATCTGTCTTTTTATTGGTTTTTCATGTAACATAGAACTACTATTATGATAAAGCCATGTATTTCACTAGCAAATCGTGCAGGGTTCAATGCAAAATTAAAAACTAAATTAAACCCATGACAAACACACTAGTTACCTCTTCAAACAATCTTCTGATAATTCTGTCATCCCTTATCTGCATGAAAAGAGAGCAATTAAGTACTCACTTATGTTGCTTCATACTCATGTATTCAGATAACAATTACAGGTATGTAATCTAATAATAACAATTAACAAATTATAATTTTTGATCATTTCGTTTCAGTGCTACTGCAGTCCAAAAGATAGGACTGAAATAAAGTAACAAAAACAGCACAACATGTATTTTAGAAATTACCACATAATCTTAAAACAAATTATATTTCTTTATTTAATTCAACAGAATAAAAATTATGAATTGGTAGTAATTGTTACTTACTCTCTTTTCCTCTGCAAGGGGAAAAAATGAATTCCTCTGGTAAGACAGAATTGGCTCATCTGAAGAAAGAAGAAATTGTCAATGGTAAAAATTAGTGATCATTGTAGGGTAATAAAATTCCAACCAGTTAGGTTAGAGAGAAATAAAATCAGAATGTATCCCTACAAGAAAAAAGTGCAACAGTTACACACCTTTTTCAGCCACCTCTTCAGGTGTATTGGTAAACTTCTTGAGTAACTCTGTCCACACCTTACGTAATCTAAACGGCCTGTGATGAGCCTTCAACTGAAGCTCTGCAATAGAACAACACAGTCAAAGCAATATAAGATACCTGACAAAAAGTCTGCAAGTCAAACTACATTAGAATTAGATTAGGTTAATAGATACAT